AGCATGGGGCGGGCGGCTGTGGTCCCCGGCACGGGGACCTCACACTCCGCCAGGGCTGGGAAGCAGACCAGTGCGTGTCATGCACGTCCTAGATGACAGCGAGCTCCACGTTCCCACTGCAGTGAGGAGAAACAAAGCAAAACCCGCTCTCAGAGAGTGAAGATGGACGTTAAGAGCGACAGAGCCAGTGGGAAAAGGAGGAACGCAGCTCACAGCATTTCCACTCAGTAAAGGTGTCAACAAGCATCTCTCGAGCACCTCTCTGTTCACCAGGAACAGCGTGTCCTTGCTGTGATGGAAGGGACGGAACAAGATCCACAGACGTGCGGTTTGGTGTCTAGGTAGAAACAAAGGTGCGGGAGACAAGCGAAGCAGGTACAGGAAGGGCCGTGCTGGAGACGGGCCGTGTCGTGCCTTTGCACAGTGAGTGGGTGAGGTCTTCGTTCACAGGGGAATAGAAAGATAAGTGGGGAAGAAAGAAAAAGAACAAGTCACAGGGATGCTTGTGAAAAGCTCTCCCAAGGCATACGTAGGAATGATCAACACAAACAACCTGAAGCCCAAGACGCTGGGCATTTGGGGGAAGAAAATAGGACCCAGTGGCCAGAGCAACAACAGAGTAGCCAGAGATGAGGTCATGGTCTTAGCAACATGGGGAGCCACGCGGCTTTACCCAGGGCATCGCTCTGGATGCTGGGTGGAGCAGGGCATTGCGAGGCACGGGCAGGAGCTGGGAGACCAGTCAGGAGCCTAACAGAACAGCACAGGCAGTGGACGCTGCGGGCTGGACCAGCCAGGTGAGCGGACAGCATGCTAAGCCCACGGGTCCTGATGCTACAGAGAGATGCGAAAACCTGTCCAAGATGTCACGTGAAGATTGTCATAAACACTCTGGCTGCAAGGGAGCACACAGGAATTTGAATAGAAGGAGCCCAGTTAGGAAGGTAGGACATAAATTTGGAAATTTGCTACGTTTTCCTTTTTTAAGCAGCCTTCTAAAGTAGGATGAAATGTCATTTGTACGCATGACAGAGGTTACGCAGATGCGGGGAAGGGTGGCACATGGACCTGGCCATGCAATCTGAAGAACCGACAAGTGCTGAATCCATGAGGTCTCACAGCATAAAAATACCCACCGCACCACACTGCAGAACCCACAAACACTGAGAATATTTTTAAAGCCCTGGATGGTGTTGTTTAGTTGGTTGAGTATCATTTCAAGCACTTGAAGGTCACTGGTTCGATTCCCAGTTAGGACACATGCCTGGGTTTGGGGTTCAATCCCCATCAGGGGGGTGCAGGAGGAAGCCCATCAATGTTTCTCTCTCACATTGATGTTTCTCTCTCTCCCTCTAAGATCAAAAAAACAAAACATGTTTTTAAAAAATATTTTTAAAATCAAACAACTTTAATATAAAAATCACGTTTAGAGATTTAAAGAGCCACGGATCAGCTCTATCATTTCTTTATAACGTATGAATTACAAGCGTGTTGAAATTATCTGCCGAAATACCGCGTCATGCTTGTTTTTAACCCCTCACAGTCACGCAGTTCTATTCGCTGTAATTATTTCTAATTGCTGCTTTAGTTACTTTAAAGACCGGACTTTGCTAATTAGCTTCTCTGGAAGCTGTTTCCTGCCTCCCCTTCATCCAGGCTCCGGCTAGTCTTGCTTTTTATTTGTACTGACCTTTGACATTTCCATTTTCTGTTTGCTCTTGAAACTCTAGCTAATTAGAGGATTTCAAATTCCTCGTGATAAAGCAGTGCCAGACAGGGCAGGTAATTAGAATATCCGATGACAGAAACTGGGGTTTTGGTGCCCGGGGTTAGGAGATCACACCTCCCAGCAGCCTTTCCCTGCAGGGTGTTTTGTGATTCGGCAATTAACCTCCTGCTCAGGACATGGCCAGCTACTCGTCTCGTAACATCCCCGAGCTGAGATTATTTCACAGCCTGCCCTTTACTGCATTTTATCAGATGTGGTGAGCCCGCAGGTCAAAGCGAAAGGCCCAGAGAGAACGTCGCGTGTCCTGTAGAAATGATAGCAGCGCCTTTCATTAGGAACGTGTCCCCGAAAGCCCGCACATTGTCTTTCCCTGCATAACCCACTTCACGGTGATGTCACAGCCCCTCCTCAGGGAACTGCCGTCCTCGCTGCATGTACGCGCTCATGCGTGCACACCTGCACACGCGTGTGCATGCCCTGTGTGGAGCCACAGGAATCTGTGGCATGGACATGTCTCAGCCGGCCACGAGTTCGGCCAGAAGGGACCTGGGAACACGTCTCGGCCACCAAGTGGTGACAGGCTGCCTTCCTTTCCCCTGCGTTCTGCGCACACGTCACAAGGTCTGCTCTGCACAAAGCACGGTACCTGGCGACGTGGGTACAAATGTGCTACACCACGAGCCGCCCCTGCCTTCCCGACCGGGTGTTAGTCCCGACAGATGCCTGGCGCCTGTGGCTGGGTTTGAACGCGCGGTGGTTACGGAGAAGGGAGGGACATCTGCAGCAGCCTGGGACCCAGGGAAGACTGCAGAGAGGAGAAACTCGGACCCCAGCTCTGAGGATCTGGGGCGCAGCGGCGGGAGGAGGGAAGCTGTGGGTGGGGGAGACTGTGGTAGGCAAAGAGGGCTCCAAAGACGTGGAAAGGGGGAGCCCAGAGGAGCCTGTTCATGACCCGACTGGACCCCACGTGCTCAGGCTCACGGGCAGTAAGCACGGGGAAGGAGATAAAAATGGACATCTAGGTGGTGCGTGAGTCAGAGACGGTCCCTTCCCTCAGTCAGTGACCACCTGGCCAAAGCTGCAGACCTCCAAGCCGACCCGTGGGTGGGGACGGAGCGAGCGGAAGGCCCGTACCAGACGCATGGATGACACTGTTCTGCTACTTGTCACATGGCTGGGCCACACAGGCTGGGGCTGGAGGCAGGGAATCCAGAGAGACGCACCAGGGGGGAGGACCTGAAACTGGACAATGACAGCAGACACCTCTAGGCAGCTGCACACATGAGAGCTACTCAGGAGGGAGCCCCGGAAAGGACCAGGTGGCCGATCAGCAGCACCTGTTCCTTCTGACTCGCGGGAGGTCCCGGAGGCGGAGGTTCAGAAGGACGACGGCCCCAACCACGCGCACTTTACACGACTCCGTGAAACGTGTTTCTAGGGGAGACACTCTGACAGGCTGGAGAATACCCTCTTGTCTGCTTCAGTCACGCGGCAGGTCGTCGGGCTGGAGGGCCTCGGCAGCCTGCCTGACGTTGCTGGCCGTGGTCAGCCCTGTGTCTTGGAAAGGCATCCGCCACCTCCACGCAGCCATCCCGGATTCCACCACGGGCCGGAAAGGCGTCTGGAGGCCCAGGTCAGAACTGCCACCTCCTTGTCATTGCCGTCTGTTGGTCGCAGCAGTCACAGGGCAGAGCGTGGGGCTGGGGAGCCGGAACGCGCCTCTCTGGACAGGAGCTGGAAGGAACCCTGTTCCATCCCCCACAGCGCCTCAGGGCCAGGGCCGCACGGTTTCGAGCCGGTATTCCCGATTCCTGACACACTATTTCTCTGGGAGCTACGCTGAGCGCAGGTGTTTCTATGGCTCGGTGGGGTATATCTCCTTTACAAACAACTGAGGTTAAAAGCTTAAAAGGAAAAAAAAAAAACCACTTCTGCAATAAAACAGAACAAGATTTACTAAGATTGGCAACAAAACGTGAATCTGTACGAGAGGAATGAAGCCATACCTCAAAGCCACGACTTTGCTCTTGAATTTTACCAGCCCCCCGAGAGCTAACTTTTATTGCTCACGATATCATGTACTTGCTGCCTTTCCAACTACAACCCAGGGGCCCTTGCTTGACGCGCCCCCCTCCTCCCCCCCATCATCTTAGACGAAACAACTCTGAAACCTTAAACAAGACTCGACTGTGGCACTTAAGGTCAAGAGTCGCATAAATCCTTATATGTCTTGTTCCCCGAGGTTGCACACCCCGTTCCACCACCTTCTTCCTCCTTCAACCCCGACTCCACCAGAGCCGCTTTCCCTACCTGAACGTCTACCCTCCTCAACGCCCAGACTCAGGAAAGACAGGCTTCGGCTCCTCTCGCGTCTCCTTCAGGGGTTGGCTTTCCTGCCTGACGATCTAGCTCCTTTTCAGATCCTGACTGGAGGACTGTCGTTGCTCCACGCCCTCAGCCTGTGGGCACCGCTAGACCCGTACCTGGCGAGAACTAACCGCATCACCCATGGAATGCCAGGAGTACCCCAGGGAAGGTGAGGGTGCTCTTCCACAAAGGACCGAAATTAGCATATGTCAGAGGGATCGTGACCCATCACCTCTCTTTTTCATTCACACAAGGAGAGCTTCCCTGATATGTTAGCGCAAGACAGACAGACAAGGTCCCCTAGGTTAATATCCCACGTATGCCCTGCGGCCAGTGACCTCTTAACATCTCTGCGGCACAATTTGCAGGGTGTCCTATAAGATTATTGAATGTTGCAATCACAATTTTCACTTTTTCAGAGCATGAAGGCTCCCGGCTTTATTGAATCAAGGTGAGGGAAGAGTCAAAGCATGAGACAAATGATCGTTAGTCTCGGAACATCCCTGGGACCGTTTCATTGACAAAGAGCAGGGCCGCTAGACAAACCTGGCGGCGCGGCACCGTGGTTTCTCAGAGACAGTCATCGGAAATGCATCCCACGGTGTCCCACTGGGTCTGGCTGTGTGAACCCCGTGCCACGTTCGTCTGCAGCTGTAGAATGTTCTGTGGCATCCTCCCGGGCAGAGAGGATTTGCATAATGCAAAAGCGAATGATGAATACAGGACATACAGCTGCATATGTAGAAAAAGATTTCCCTTTAATCTCCTACAAGAACCAAGGATCTTCATGCAGAAGAACGTGAGTTTAAGGGAATTCTATATTCCAAAAGAAAATGCCCCAAAGGAAAAAAATAGAGGTAAGTTGGAGGATTTTTTTTTTTTTTTTTTTGCATTTATTTTTTATTTTCATGGTCTGGGAGGTAAATGAATAGAGCAATGCTTTCTACCTAATCATCTCTCCTGGCCTGCGTTCCGATGTCCTGATGTTTCTTCAACAGAACGGGGAAGCTGCCCTGAACTGAACTCAGCATTTTGGAAGAAAATGTTTCAAAAGAGCAAATGGAAACAACAAACACCTTCCGCATGGAAAGCACCAAAGAACGGTTATAACAGTGGTCAACAGCGTTTGCCTACAATATTTCAAGTGGTTGATTCTCTATTTAAAAAATGATGCTTTAGATTTTCTAATTTTGCAGATGGAAGACGTGTGTCCCTCCTGTGAGAACGGCTCGGTTTGAACTCAGCCATGTGGTTACACAAGCCAACCAAGGTCCGTTTCCATAACAATCCAGCCAAGTGCTGTCAGATCCATCATCCAGATGAGGACAGAGTCGATTTCTCAAAGCCCTAACGTTCGCGCTAGATATTAGGTTCAATAAATCTTTGCGAGTGGCCATCTCACAGTAAACGGTTCTTAGATAAATCGAATATAAAAAGCTAAGTATTTCTTTCGTTGGACGCATGGTATTCCGGCAGAAAGAGCTAACCTAAAATCCACACATGCAGAGATGCTGGTGATGGAAACTTCAGACAATCGCAAGATAACGTGATCGTGACGGAACCCAAAGACCCGTTGTTACAGCATCTGGTCCCACCGGCCTGATGGCTGAAGTCTGCCTGGCTGCTGAGGTCACCCTTCAGCAATCGTTCTGAATAAACTCTGGGCAAAGGAGTGAAACAGGGCTCCTCGTTTCCCACAGACCTGCTCCCCCCTCCTGCGGGGGCCGCTGGACTCCTGTCCAAGGGGCGGATGCCCGGAGAGGGGTTCCACTTTCATGACTCCTGAGCCCCAGCAAACAGACTGAACCTGCCCACGTTGTCACAACCCAGATGTTCCCTCCTCTCCATCCTCTGAATGTATCTTCCACCTCGGGACTCTGCTAGCTCATTTAAGTGACTCAGCCACAGCATTCATGGGTTATTTACGTTCGGCTTATCACTGCCAGTTACCACGATCACGGTCACTGGGGACGTGGCAGCTGAACCCAGTGAATAAGCCATGTGAGACTTTGCAGGGTATTCGGGGGAAGACGATGAGGGACGCACATGGGACTCTCGTCCCCATTCAACTCACACTGACGTGGCGACTGCTCGCCTGATAGGTGCACGGAAGCCCAGAACTGGAGTCGTGCTGTAAGAGCTGCACCTGACTGAGCAGCTCCTCAGACCCCCAGCCTTGGGCTCGGCTTGGGTCTTCAACTTGAAATTCAGCAGAAAAGAATCCGTAAGCCCATAGATTTCTGTTGTTGTTTTTTATTGTTGAAAGTATTTTTTTTTTTTTTTTTTATCCTCACCCGAGGACATTTTCCCATTTTTTGTACAGACAGAGTGGGAGGGAGAGAGAGGAAGGGAGAGAGAGAGAGAGAAAAACATCGACGCGAAGGGACACATCGAGTGGCTGCCACCCGCACGACCAACCAGGGCCGGGGACAAACTGCAACCGAGGTACGTGCCCTTAGCGGGAACCGAACCCGGGTCTCTCAGGACCGCAGGCCGACGCTCTAACTGCTGAGCCAAACCGGCCAGGGCTGTTGAAAGTATTTTTAATGTGTGTGGTTTTTTTTTTAAGTAAAGACTCCTTATCTTGTCAGCAATGTGAATTCTAATCTTTTTATTGAATTTAGAGAGAGAGGAAGGGAGAGGAGAAGAGAGAAATATCAATGAGAGAGAATCAGTCATTGGCTGCCTCCCGCACACTCCCCCCGGAAATCCAGCCCAAAACCCAGGCGTGTGTCCCGACCAAGAATGGGACCAGTGACCCCCTCGTGCACAGGACGGCACCCAGCCAATGAGCCCACCAGCCGGGTCGGGTTTTAATGCCGTGACGGGACGGGTTTGCCAGCGGTGGGCGTGTTTATGCTGGGAAAGGCCGGGTGGGCCTCGCTGGCGCGGCTTGGCGGTTGGACGGTCTGCCCGCCACCTCCCCCACTAAAGGGTCCTGGTTGAATTCCCAGTCAAGGCACGTAGCTGGGTTGCAGGTGCCATGCCCGGCCATGCAGGAGGCAACCAACCGATGGGTCTCTCTCCCATCAATGCTTCTCTCTCTCCCTCCCCTCTCTAACCCTCCACTCTCTCTAAAAATCAATGGAAACAAATAGCCTCAGGTGAGGATTAACAACAACAAAAAGACCAGGTGAAAGCAGTTGAAATATAAATTATAAGCAAAAATGGCAATACAAAGAAAAGGCTTTTGATTTCATAACGATCCAATTGCAATTAAGAATTTTCAGGGGCGCCCTGGCCGGTGTGGCTCAGCGGTTGGAGCATCCGCCTGCGGTCCGGAGAGACCCGGGTTCGGTTCCCGCTAAGGGCGCGTACCTCGGTTGCAGTTTGTCCCCGGCCCTGGTCGGTCGTGCGGGTGGCAGCCACTTGATGTGTCCCTTTCACATCGATGTTTCTCTCTCTCTCTCTTCTTCTCTCTCCCTCCCACTCTATCTGTACAAAAAATGGAAAAATGTCTTCTGGTGAGGATAAAAAAAAAAAAAAGAATTTTCAGGGGACAGCGACAGTTCCTGTGACCTGCTGCTCCTGAACGGGGCGCCAAGGACAGATATCGCTTTGTCACCACCCTGCCGGGAGCTCGCCTGATGTTAGCGATAACTCGGGGAACGCGCCCGCCTGGACCGTGGCCACAAAATTCATAGGAAGCGGCAAGAAAAGGGACTAACGAGAAACATCTTCGACATGCCTCAAGACGGTCACCTCGAGCTTCCTGCCACCTGCCGCCTGCTTCGTTCCCCTTGTAGGACTACCAGGTCCTTCAATGTTCGTTATTATCCAAAATATAAAAGGTACTTTTTCCCTAGTCTGAGCATTTCATTTACCATGATGTGGATGACATCTCCAGTAAGCATTTATGTTTTGCCAGAAAAGGTCAGTGAACTTTTTCCGCAAAGGCAAGTAACGACGAGTGTAGTTTTCATGGTCTGGATGGCCTTTGTCACAGTCATCCGAGCCCATCCCTCAGTGTTCACGCTGCACAGACGACATGGGAGTGAATGAGCTTGACGTGTTCCGGTGAAACTTTCTCCCAAACACGCAGCAAGCTGGGCCGGCCCCTCCCTTTCCCACGAAATGCTCCGATGTCCCTTCTCCCCACTCCGGCGTCTCTGCACTTGGCCGCTGCTCCATATTTGTTGTCGGTCGGATGGCTAAACGGACGACTTGGAAACCCAGGTATGTCAAGTTCTTAATAAATGTGAATTCATGTCTGCAAAGTCTTATTAGAAAAAAATAGCTACAGAGCCACTTTTTCTTGTCCTTTTTTTTTTTTTTTTTTTTTTTTTTATCCTCACCCGAGGATATTTTTCCATTTTTTGTACAGATAGATTGGGAGGGAGAGAGAGAGAGAGAGAAACATCGATGTGAAAGGGACACATCGAGTGGCTGCCACCCGCACGACCAACCAGGGCCGGGGACAAACTGCAACCGAAGTACGTGCCCTTAGCGGGAACTGAACCCGGGTCTCGCCGGACGGCAGGCCGACGCTCTAACTGCTGAGCCAAACTGGCCAGGGCTCTTGTCCCTTATTATGTGAGTAAAAGCCAAAGGGTTCTTCCTGAAATGATGCCTTAGAAATACCTTTGCGGTTTCAGACCACCACGTAGAACCGTCCAATCTTCCACCACGAACTACTTAGACGATGATCTAAACCACGAGGTCCCTAGCAATGCCTGAACAACGTTGCTGTGGTCTTTTTCATCGAAAAGGGTAGCACAGAGACATATACAAAATGAATTCCAAGAATATAAGACTATTGGGGAAAATCCTTCTAGAGTTAAAAATAAAAAAATACTAATCATTTATTACAAATAATGAAATCCGACTTAGCAATTAATGTAAAATGCTTTCTATAATTTAGCCGTCCTTATCAGAGTAAGATTTTTTTTATTCACAATTCGCTTGTAATTGTGTTTAATATTTGGACATGTAACTATAGTCGCGACACGTTTTATGACATTGCAGTTTTAATAATAAAGAAAACCATCTACCTCTTTGATACAGCATGTAGGAGAGAGTTGTGAATGAAATGTGCTCAGGGCTCGAGGACATGGTACCACGTCAAATCGGTGTGGACAGGAAGTGTCCACTCTTTCTGGTAAGGCCTATGGATCCGGCATCATAATCTGGACTTGGACAACTTCTCAGATTTCTCGTTTCTACCATGTCGCATAAAGGTCCTGCCTGCTCCCATTGCCTGGTGTGGTTTCAGGTAAGGAACGCCAGCCCCTCGCTTGGCCATCCTAATGCCCCGAAGGACTCCGTCAAACATCTTGCCACGAGGTGGCACTGCCCTCGGCCCCCACCCCCTGCAGGACGTCCCTCCTCTCAGAGCTGTAGGGCACGTCCTTCCTCCCCTGGGAATGATCACATCCGAGGTGGATTCACCTGCACTGTGATGTCAAGACTGCTCAGCGTCGGGGGTTTTACCTACCTCCCTGTGACCGGCTGGGCTGCCCGTTTCCGGGGTGTGAGAGAAGACAATGCGCCTGTGTCAGAGAGAGGACTTTATGACACAGCGACCGGAGGACCCGATGCGACCTCCTCTGCGAGCCACCCCAAGCCCGAGCCGCTCTGGAAGCGGGAAGAGAACCAGGTAGCCGGGGCCTCGCACCCCGGAGACTGCGCCCCAGGGGAGGGCTCTGGTTTGGGGACCGGAACCGTTCCGGCACACAGTAAGCTGCCTGACCTTTGCCTGAGCGCAAGGTCACCTTCATTAGACGGGACAGCAGCAACCTCCCCTGGCTCCACTCAGACACCGTCCCCGCCCTCCCTGGCGGCCCTCGCACGCTGCTGAATCGTCATCCAGGACCAAGGCCGTGTGCTCCCACTCACACACCTGCTAGGACGTCAGAGGACGACGGGGAACTGTTCCCAACAGCGATCGCCCCCTTTCCAGTCTGCTCCCGACGGAGCGGGCTTCGCCTCCGCTCCCTGGCAAAGAGGGGAGAATCCAAATGCCACCAGTTTGAGGAAGGAGCCAGAAAACCCCAGAAGAGGTGTAAGAACAGGAGACGAGGAGCCAAAGGCAGGCAACG